CTATGTCCTGTATGTCTATGTTTGACTTTTGACATCTGTTATTTATTGAACGTGAACCAAATCATCTGACTCTTGAGGGTTATAAGCTGTTCCGCTGCAGCTTCCCACCTAGCCCTGCCATTTTGCTAAAGTGCCGCTCTTTAAACTCCCACTCCTGTGCACCAATAACTCGGTTTAAAAGCATAGGTTGCTGACATTTGTGTTGCAACATATGGGGTCATATTCATTGTTGTTGCAACTGTTGCTGTGGGTCAGTTTACTATTGGATGTTCAATGCTCCCTTCCTCTTACGTATATTCTTACGTAGCTTACGTGGATTTTAAAGTGAAGTTAAAAAGCGGTTTTATTACAAACATCTTCGGGGCAGAGGGCGCAGACGCGCTGGAAGCCCCCACTACCTTTTTTTCTTTCAGTAGAGTGTGATTGTGATTGTAACAACTAAATAATTAATATATTTTAAAACATTGTAGAATTAAAATTTTTGACGATACCAATTTATAAAAAAAATGCAAGCGAATCCTTTTAATAAAGCTAAGATACGATGTGCTTACTTTTGTTCCACCTAGTAAAGTGTCAACACAGGGAGCATGGATGGGAAGCAATGTGGGCTATTTGCATTGCCGTGTACAAGGCAGCAATTATCTTCTATAAACTACTAAAATGATATTTCTTCTTATGTCCATTGAATTCTAAATTCAAACCATTAACCTTGCCTAAATTCCACATATGAGCTACCTTACTTAGCAATTTTCAGACCGATTGCGGAAGAGTTTTGTTATGGGATTTGAATCAGGTCTACACTCGGAATCACCTTCAGTATCTGAACCCAGTATGAATCGGAGCTTCAATGGTCCCGTAAATCGTTTGGCTTTGCAGAACCAAATTACATTTATAGTATTGATTTGCCGTATGAAGCTGAAAGATTGCAAGCGAAAAATCACAATCTTTGGAAGATAGATGTCCGGTACAATATACAAGGATGCTGTTAATAGTTCGATATATTCACTGCAATTCTATATTCTATGTACATCCTTTCACAATTATCACGTCAAAGGTAATGCCAAGGCAGGCTCCCAACTCTCAATCTCAATCCATAACTTTGAAAATCAGAAAAATCGTAGAGAAATCAACACTCATTCCCATATTAGTAATATTTTATTACATTATGCGTTGAAGAGAAAATACTTATCGTTAACATAGCGACCAAATCTGGCCCGAAATCTGTAACTCGCATGAATTCATCCCAATCATCTTTTCCATAAACTGCTTCCTCTTAACAAATGACAACGAATTACAGCTTTATGGTCAGACTCGTCACACTCAGATATCTATATCTGTAAACGAAGACTACCATTTTTACACCCAATCATAGAACAATTAAAATTGAAAGATGAGCTTGTTTGACTTAAAATTCGAAGTTATTTACCACTATCCGCAATGCATGTAACCGTGCACTTCCCGAGCGAATACATCGCTCTCTCCCATCAACATGGCTAAGTTATTTGCCATAAAAGATGATATACCCTTACCGTCATGCGCAGTCTCAAATATACCACAGATCACACCTGTTACGATTTCTACGACGCGAATTCCTTCTTTCGCACTCCAACCGGAAAGATAATTTTGCAGACGTTTCAGAAGGGAAATCAGCACAGAACTACCTTGCATCCAGCAATCCATTGAAAAGATCAAAGTTCCTTTACTCAAAGTGGTCCTTCTGTGGTACTCAAAAACCAGTGTGTGATCAATAATCTTCCCAAGCCCAAAAGTTATCCCAATCACACTCGCCTTGGCCTCCGCACAGGACTAAGTATGTTCAGAGAGACTGGTTTCTCCACGGCCAAATACACCGGTATTTTTTAATGATGTCAAAACAAAGCCGATGACTCTTCAAAAACATCCATCACGCTGTTGCAGTCCAAGTATCCAGAATACCCAGCAACATGTTTCCAAGGCGATACTCCCAATTTCGCGTAATTATTATCTACCGGAAGAAATCCAAGTCTACACTACAAGAACGGCCATAGCAAAACAGATGCCTGTTCTGAGGTGCGAACTCACTGGGAAGAACTCCAGGACAACTTGTTCTTGCTTGGAAAGGCGATGCATCATAACTGCTGACACAGACGCGCGTATTATGATTTTACGACTTTGCTTTACGGATACACCTCAAGCAAACATACCTCTCTTTCATCGGACATAGATGGATAGAGTTTCGAGATGATCATTCCCAGGGATGTACGTACACGCGAGAGACGGAAAAATTGGTTCTTTCACTTGAAAAAGTGGAAATTGTCCTTTTTCTGTTTCTCATTCGCTGTAACAGGAAAATGACTCTCTCGTCTCCCCGCTCAAATGCGAAGCCGTGAATTCGTTATTGCAAGAGACTGAGATTCTGGAAAAGAATCACTTCACTCCTGCCTCTTAAACCGCTTAAAAACCGCCAGCAACGGTCTAGAGTTATGGTAGCATTAAAGAATCCTTACTTACCAGGAACATGGTCAGAAGCACTTCAAAATAGCTGAAAGATAGCTAATGACATGGATTTCAACTGATTCCATATTGGAATGTGGGTTTCCGTAGTTTGGAGGTTCCGAGGTTGCGAAGCACGGAACCATCTCCTGTTGGAGGGAAAGAGAAGTTTGTTTCCGCGTTGAGGATTCACCTTCCTTCTCTGTTTTCTGCCTGCAGGAACGTACCTCCCGATTTCTGTTCCATTTTTCAACTTGTGCTTCAACGTTCAGAATGGGTGTAGAAGAGGAGCTGTCGAATGTTTCAAGAGTCTCTCCAATCAAAGCGATCACAAATAGTGGCAATCAATTTGTTCGGCTTTGCTTCTGTGTAGAAACTGTAATTTTAACCCGATTGAGTCTTCAGAAATTTGAAGGAGTGCAATTTTGGGAAAATTGTTCACTTTAGGAGAAATATAATTTCCTCTCAAAATATACAAAAATAATTGAATACTTTAAAACCATCGTGACAAAATCAAAAAACGAAGAGTTCTTCTTCTCCAAATTTTTTCAAATCAAAAAAAATGAGATAAAAAAAGTACGTTTGGAAAATTTCATTTTTAAGCATTTTTAGGATTTTCTTCATTTTCTTCCAAAATTGACATCCTTTAATTAAATTACACTCATTAACACGCGGAGCCGGAATTCAATCTTGGATATCAGATGGATGATTATCTTTAAGATGGTTTCCTTGCAGAAAACGAAGTAGATGATGAGATAATAAGAAAACAGCAAGAAGAACGCCAATACGACAATACCGCCTTCTGTCCACCAGTAAAGACTCCACTTATTCTTTCAGCGCTAGTCATTACGGTGTTGGCTTCGGAATCCATCACCAGGCGTCTGGCCTGACAACGTAATTGTTGTTTCCTGAAGTGAAACCTCCGTTTCAATGACCATGGATCCAGCTAACTAATTTAAGTTTTAACTTTTCCATCTTCTTTGTATCTTCATACTTGGAGCTGGAATGTTGTGAGTCAGATATGTTTGCTTCCGTGCATGTAATCTTAATTGCGACCCTGGGGGTTTTCTACTTCGTTACCATTGTCGTCTGGGAGATCTATCCATTTCTGATCTGCATTGAATCTATTATTCGAGCTTCTGTCTTTGCCTCACAAAGTGTTGAATGTAAACTTTAACTGGAAATATATCACGGCCTTGAAAATGGTGTGTCAATGATTTTTCAGCAACAACAAGTTGCCCAGATAAATATGGACGACTTCAGAGAGAATATGACATTACCGGTACCTAAGTTGGATTTATGATCGCCGTCGGTCTCAACAACAACAAGTAACTTTGTCTTATTTATGATCCTTGTAGCGTTAACTTTGAAAGTCCATTCTTTCTTGTTCCCGCTTGCTACGGCTGTTGCATTGAGAACATTTTGTGATATTGCGACGCTAGTGGCAGAGGCGTTGGAAGCTTCGCTTTCTGTTGCAAAGAGATAATATGTCTTTGTAATATTTAAGCCTGTTCGAGTATGATTTTGGCTGTGTATGGATTGCCTGAAATTACTTCGTTGCCTCGTTGTATTGAACACTCTCGATAACTGGTGTGGGGACTGTGAAGAATATGTAACTTACCGGTACCTAAGTTGGATTTATGATCGGCGTCGGTCTCAACAACAACAAGTAACTTTGTCTTATTATGATCCTTTGTAGCGTTAACTTTGAAAGTTCCATTCTTTCTTGTCCCGCTTGCTACGGCTGTTGCATTGAGAACATTTTGTGATATTGCGACGCTAGTGGCAGAGGCGTTGGAAGCTTCGCTTTCTGTTGCAAAGAGATAATATGTCTTTGTAATATTTAAGCCTGTTCGAGTATGATTTTGGCTGTGTATGGATTGCTGAAATTACTTCGTTGCCATCGTTTGTATTGAACACTCTCGATAACTGGTGTGGGGACTGTGGAAGAATATGTAACATTACCGGTACTAAGTTTGGATTTATGATCGGCGTCGGTCTCAACAACAACAAGTAACTTTGTCTTATTATGATCCTTTGTAGCGTTAACTTTGAAAGTCCATTCTTTCTTGTTCCCGCTTGCTACGGCTGTTGCATTGAGAACATTTTGTGATATTGCGACCTAGTGGCAGAGGCGTTGGAAGCTTTCGCTTTCTGTTTGCAAAGAGATAATATGTCTTTGTAATATTTAAGCCTGTTCGAGTATGATTTTGGCTGTGTATGGATTGCCTGAAATTATTCGTTGCCATCGTTGTATTGAACACTCTCGATAACTGGTGTGGGGATGTGGAAGAATATGTAACATTACCGGTACCTAAGTTGGATTTATGATCGCGTCGGTCTCAACAACAACAAGTAACTTTGTCTTATTATGATCCTTTGTAGCGTTAACTTTGAAAGTCCATCTTTTCTTGTTCCCGCTTGCTACGGCTGTTGCATTGAGAACATTTTTGTGATATTGCGACGCTAGTGGCAGAGGCGTTGGAAGCTTCGCTTTCTGTTGCAAAGAGATAATATGTCTTTTGTAATATTTAAGCCTGTTTCGAGTATGATTTTGGCTGTGTATGGATTGCCTGAAATTACTTCGTTGCCATTCGTTGTATTGAACACTCTCGATACTGGTGTGGGGACTGTGGAAGAATATGTAACATTACCGGTACCTAAGTTGGATTTATGATCGGCGTCGGTCTCAACAACAACAAGTAACTTTGTCTTATTATGATCCTTTGTTGCGTTAACTTTGAAAAGTCCATTCTTTCTTGTTCCCGCTTGCTACGGCTGTTGCATTGAGAACATTTTGTGATATTGCGACGTAGTGGCAGAGGCGTTGGAAGCTTCGCTTTCTGTTGCAAAGAGATAATATGTCTTTGTAATATTTAAGCCTGTTTCGAGTATGATTTTTGGCTGTGTATGGATTGCCTGAAATTACTTCGTTGCCATCGTTGTATTGAACACTCTCGATAACTGGTGTGGGGACTGTGGAAGAGATATGTAACATTACGTACTAAGTTGGATTTATGATCGGCGTCGGTCTCAACAACAACAAGTAACTTTGTCTTATTATGATCCTTTTGTAGCGTTAACTTTGAAAGTCCATTCTTTCTTGTTCCCGCTTTGCTACGGCTGTTGCATTGAGAACATTTTGTTGATATTGCGACGCTAGTGGCAGAGGCGTTGGAAGCTTCGCTTTCTGTTGCAAAGAGATAATATGTCTTTGTAATTTTTAAGCCTGTTTCGAGTATGATTTTGGCTGTGTATGGATTGCCTGAAATTACTTCGTTGCCATCGTTGTATTGAACACTCTCGAATAAACTGGTGTGGGGACTGTGAAGAATATGTAACATTACCGGTACCTAAGTTGATTTATGATCGGCGTCGGTCTCAACAACAACAAGTAACTTTGTCTTATTATGATCCTTTGTAGCGTTAAACTTGAAAGTCCATTCTTTCTTGTTCCCGCTTGCTACGGCTGTTGCATTGAGAACATTTTGTGATATTGCGACGCTAGTGGCAGAGGGCGTTGGAAGCTTCCTTTCTGTTGCAAAGAGATAATATGTCTTTTGTAATATTTAAGCCTGTTTCGAGTATGATTTTGGCTGTGTATGGATTGCCTGAAATTACTTCGTTGCATCGTTGTATTGAACACTCTCGATAACTGGTGTGGGGACTGTGGAAGAATATGTAACATTACCGGTACCTAAGTTGGATTTTATGATCGGCTCGGTCTCAACAACAACAAGTAACTTTTCTTATTATGATCCTTTGTAGCGTTAACTTTGAAAGTCCATTCTTTCTTGTTCCCGCTTGCTACGGCTGTTGCATTGAGAACATTTTGTGATATTGCGACGCTAGTGGCAGAGGCGTTGGAAGCTTCGCTTTCTGTTGCAAAAGAGATAATATGTCTTTGTAATATTTAAGCCTGTTTCGAGTATGATTTTGGCTGTGTATGGATTGCCTGAAATTACTTCGTTGCCTTCGTTGTATTGAACACTCTCGATAAAATGGTGTGGGGACTGTGGAAGAATATGTAACATTACCGGTACCTAAGTTGGATTTATGATCGGCGTCGGTCTCAACAACAACAAGTAATTTGTCTTATTATGATCTTTGTAGCGTTAACTTTGAAAGTCCATTCTTTCTTGTTCCCGCTTGCTACGGCTGTTGCATTGAGAACATTTTTGTATATATGCGACGCTAGTGCAGAGGCGTTGGAAGCTTCGCTTTCTGTGCAAAGAGATAATATGTCTTTGTAATATTTAAGCCTGTTTCGAGTATGATTTGGCTGTGTATGGATTGCCTGAAATTACTTCGTTGCCATCGTTGTATTGAACACTCTCGATAACTGGCTGTGGGGACTGTGGAAGAATATGTAACATTACCGGTACCTAAGTTGGATTTATGATCGCGTCGTCCTCAACAACAACAAGTAACTTTGTCTTATTATGATCCTTTGTAGCGTTAACTTTGAAGTCCATTCTTTCTTGTTCCCGCTTGCTACGGCTGTTGCATTGAGAACATTTTGTGATATTGCGACGCTAGTGGCAGAGGCGTTGGAAGCTTCGCTTTCTGTTGCAAAGAGATAATATGTCTTTGTAATATTTAAGCCTGTTTCGAGTATGATTTTGGCTGTGTATGGATTGCCTGAAATTACTTCGTTGCCATCGTTGTATTGAACACTTCTCGTAAACTGGTGTGGGGACTGTGGAAGAATATGTAACATTACCGGTACCTAAGTTGGATTTATGATCGCGTCGGTCTCAACAACAACAAGTAACTTTGTCTTATTATGATCCTTTGTAGCGTTAACTTTGAAAGTCCATTCTTTCTTGTTCCCGCTTGCTACGGCTGTTGCATTGAGAACATTTTGTGATATTGCGACGCTAGTGGCAGAGGCGTTGGAAGCTTCGCTTTCTGTTGCAAAGAGATAATATGTCTTTGTAATATTTAAGCCTGTTTCGAGTATGATTTTGGCTGTGTATGGATTGCCTGAAATTACTTCGTTGCCATCGTTGTATTGAACACTCTCGATAACTGGTGTGGGGACTGTGGAAGAATATGTAACATTACCGGTACCTAAGTTGGATTTTATGATCGGCGGTCGGTCTCAACAACAACAAGTAACTTTGTCTTATTATGATCCTTTTTAGCGTTAACTTTGAAATCCATTCTTTCTTGTTCCCGCTTGCTACGGCTGTTGCATGAGAACATTTTGTGATATTGCGACGCTAGTGGCAGAGGCGTTGGAAGCTTCGCTTTTCTGTTGCAAAGAGATTATATGTCTTTGTAATATTTAAGCCTGTTTCGAGTATGATTTTGGCTGTGTATGGATTGCCTGAAAATTACTTCGTTGCCATCGTTGTATTGAACACTCTCGATAACTGGTGTGGGGACTTGGAAGAATATGTAACATTACCGGTACCTAAGTTGGATTTATGATCGGCGTCGGTCTCAACAACAACAAGTAACTTTGTCTTATTTATGATCCTTTGTAGCGTTAACTTTGAAAGTCCATTCTTTCTTGTTCCCGTTGCTACGGCTGTTGCATTGAGAACATTTTGTGATTATTGCGACGCTAGTGGCAGAGGCGTTGGAAGCTTCGCTTTCTGTTGCAAAGATAATATGTCTTTGTAATATTTAAGCCTGTTTCGAGTATGATTTTGGCTGTGTATGGATTGCCTGAAATTACTTCGTTGCCATCGTTGTATTGAACACTCTCGATAACTGGTGTGGGGACTGTGGAAGAAATATGTAACATTACCGGTACCTAAGTTGGATTTATGATCGGCGTCGGTCTCAACAACAACAAGTAACTTTGTCCTATTATGATCCTTGTAGCGTTAACTTTGAAAGTCCATTCTTTCTTGTTCCCGCTTGCTACGGCTGTTGCATTGAGAACATTTTGTTGATATTGCGACGCTAGTGGCAGAGGCGTTGGAAGCTTCGCTTTCTGTTGCAAAGAGATAATATGTCTTTGTAATATTTAAGCCTGTTTCGAGTATGATTTTGGCTGTGTATGGATTGCCTGAAATTACTTCGTTGCCTTCGTTGTATTGAACACTCTCGATAACTGGTGTGGGGACTGTGGAAGAATATGTAACATTACCGGTAACTAAGTTGGATTTATGATCGCGTCGGTCTCAACAACAACAAGTAAACTTTGTCTTTTATGATCCTTTGTAGCGTTAACTTTGAAAGTCCATTCTTTCTTGTTCCCGCTTGCTACGGCTGTTGCATTGAGAACATTTTGTGATATTGCGACGCTAGTGGCAGAGGCGTTGAAGCTTCGCTTTCTGTGTGCAAAGAGAATAATATGTCTTTGTAATATTTAAGCCTGTTTCGAGTATGATTTTGGCTGTGTATGGATTGCCTGAAATTACTTCGTTGCACTTCGTTGTATTGAACACTCTCGTAACTGGTGTGGGACTGTGGAAGAATATGTACATTACCGGTACCTAAGTGGATTTATGATCGGCGTCGTCTCAACAACAACAAGTAACTTTGTCTTATTATGATCCTTTGTAGCGTTAACTTTGAAAGTCCATTCTTTCTTGTTCCCGCTTGCTACGGCTGTTGCATTGAGAACATTTTGTGATATTGCGACGCTAGTGGCAGAGGCGTTGGAAGCTTCGCTTTCTGTTGCAAAGAGATAATATGTCTTTGTAATATTTAAGCCTGTTTCGAGTATGATTTTTGGCTGTGTATGGATTGCCTGAAATTACTTCGTTGCCATCGTTGTATTGAAACTCTCGATAACTGGTGTGGGGACTGTGGAAGAATATGTAACATTACCGGTACCTAAGTTGGATTTATGATCGGCGTCGGTCTCACAACAACAAGTAACTTTGTCTTATTATGATCCTTTGTAGCGTTAACTTTGAAAGTCCATTCTTTCTTGTTCCCGCTTGCTACGGCTGTTGCATTGAGAACATTTTGTGATATTGCGACGCTAGTGCAGAGGCGTTGGAAGCTTCGCTTTCTGTTGCAAAGAGATAATATGTCTTTGTAATATTTAAGCCTGTTTCGAGTATGATTTTGGCTGTGTATGGATTGCTGAAATTACTTCGTTGCCTCGTTGTATTGAACACTCTCGATAACTGGTGTGGGGACTTGTGAAGAATATGTAACATTACCGGTACCTAAGTTGGATTTATGATCGCGTCGGTCTCAACAACAACAAAGTAACTTTGTCTTATTATGATCCTTTGTAGCGTTAACTTTGAAAGTCCATTCTTTCTTGTTCCCGCTTGCTACGGCTGTTGCATTGAGAACATTTTGTTGATATTGCGACGCTAGTGGCAGAGGCGTTGGAAGCTTCGCTTTCTGTTGCAAAAAGATAATATGTCTTTTGTAATATTAGCTGCTTTCGAGTATGATTTTGGCTGTGTATGGATTGCCTGAAATTACTTCGTTGCCATCGTTGTATTGAACACTCTCGATAACTGGTGTGGGGACTGTGGAAGAATATGTAACATTACCGGTACCTAAGTTGGATTTATGATCGGCGTCGGTCTCAACAACAACAATAACTTTGTCTTATTATGATCCTTTGTAGCGTTAACTTTGAAAGTCCATTCTTTCTTGTTCCCGCTTGCTACGGCTGTTGCATGAGAACAAATTTTGTGATATTGCGACGCTAGTGCAGAGGCGTTGGAAGCTTCGCTTTCTGTTGCAAAGAGATAATATGTCTTTGTAATATTTAAGCCTGTTTCAGTATGATTTTGGCTGTGTATGGATTGCCTGAAATTACTTCGTTGCCTTCGTTGTATTGAACACTCTCGATAACCTGGTGTGGGGACTTGTGGAAGAATATGTAACATTACCGGACCTAAGTTGGATTTATGATCGGCGTCGGTCTCAACAACAACAAGTAACTTTGTCTTATTTATGATCCTTTGTAGCGTTAACTTTGAAGTCCATTCTTTCTTGTTCCCGCTTGCTACGGCTGTTGCATTGAGAGACATTTTGTGATATTTGCGACGCTAGTGGCAGAGGCGTTGGAAGCTTCGCTTTCTGTTGCAAAGAGATAATATGTCTTTGTAATATTTAAGCCTGTTTCGAGTATGATTTTGGCTGTGTATGGATTGCCTGAAATTACTTCGTTGCCTTCGTTGTATTGAACACTCTCGATAACTGGTGTGGGGACTGTGGAAGAATATGTAACATTACGGTACCTAAGTTGGATTTATGATCGGCGTCGGGTCTCAACAACAACAAGTAACTTTGTCTTATTATGATCCTTTGTAGCGTTAACTTTGAAAGTCATTCTTTCTTGTTCCCGCTTGCTACGGCTGTTGCATTGAGAACATTTTGTTGATATTCGACGCTAGTGGCAGAGGCGTTGGAAGCTTCGCTTTGTTGCAAAGAGATAATATGTCTTTGTAATATTTAAGCCTGTTTCGAGGTATGATTTTGGCTGTGTAGTGATTGCCTGAATTACTTCGTTGCCTTCGTGTGTATTGAACACTCTCGATAACTGTGTTGGGGACTGTGAAGAATATGTAACATTACCGGTACCTAAGTTGGATTTTATGATCGGCGTCGGTCTCAACAACAACAGTAACTTTGTCTTATTATATATCCTTTGTAGCGTTAACTTTGAAAGTCCATTCTTTCTTGTTCCCGCTTGCTACGGCTGTTGCATATGAGAACATTTTGTGATATTGCGACGCTAGTGGCAGAGGCGTTGGAAAGCTTCGCTTTCTGTTGCAAAGAGATATATGTCTTGTAATATTTAAGCCTGTTTCGAGTATGATTTTGGCTGTGTATGGATTGCCTGAAATTACTTCGTTGCCTTCGTTGTATTGAACACTCTCGATAACTGGTGTGGGGACTGTGGAAGAATATGTAACATTACCGGTACCTAAGTTGGATTTATGATCGGCGTCCGTCTCAACCAACAAGTAACTTTGTCTTATGATCCTTTGTAGCGTTAACTTTGAAAGTCCATTCTTTCTTGTTCCCGCTTGCTACGGCTGTTGCATTGAGAACATTTTGTGATATTGCGACGCTAGTGGCAGAGGCGTTGGAAGCTTCGCTTTCTGTTGCAAAGAGATAATATGTCTTTGTAATATTTAAGCCTGTTTCGAGTATGATTTTGGCTGTGTATGGATTGCCTGAAATTACTTCGTTGCCATCGTTGTATTGAACACTCTCGATAACTGGTGTGGGGACTGTGGAAGAATATGTAACATTACCGGTACCTAAGTTGGATTTATGATCGGCGTCGGTCTCAACAACAACAAGTAACTTTGTCTTATTATGATCCTTTGTAGCGTTAACTTTGAAAGTCCATTCTTCTTGTTCCCGCTTGCTACGGCTGTTGCATTGAGAACATTTTGTGATATTGCGACGCTAGTGGCAGAGGCGTTGGAAGCTTCGCTTTCTGTTGCAAAGAGATAATATGTCTTTGTAATATTTAAGCCTGTTTCGAGTATGATTTTGGCTGTGTATGGATTGCCTGAATTACTTCGTTGCCATCGTTGTATTGAACACTCTCGATAACTGGTGTGGGGACTGTGGAAGAATATGTAACATTACCGGTACCTAAGTTGGATTTATGATCGGCGTCGGTCTCAACAACAACAAGTAACTTTGTCTTATTATGATCCTTTGTAGCGTTAACTTTGAAAGTCCATTCTTTCTTGTTCCGCTTGCTACGGCTGTTGCATTGAGAACATTTTGTGATATTGCGACGCTAGTGGCAGAGGCGTTGGAAGCTTCGCTTTCTGTTGCAAAGAGATAATATGTCTTTGTAATATTTAAGCCTGTTTCGAGTATGATTTTGGCTGTGTATGGATTGCCTGAAATTACTTCGTTGCCATCGTTGTATTGAACACTCTCGATAACTGGTGTGGGGACTGTGGAAGAATATGTAACATTACCGGTACCTAAGTTGGATTTATGATCGGCGTCGGTCTCAACAACAACAAGTAACTTTGTCTTATTATGATCCTTTGTAGCGTTAACTTTGAAAGTCCATTCTTTCTTGTTCGCTTGCTACGGCTGTTGCATTGAGAACATTTTGTGATATTGCGACGCTAGTGGCAGAGGCGTTGGAAGCTTCGCTTTCTGTTGCAAAGAGATAATATGTCTTTGTAATATTTAAGCCTGTTTCGAGTATGATTTTGGCTGTGTATGGATTGCCTGAATTACTTCGTTGCCATCGTTGTATTGAACACTCTCGATAACTGGTGTGGGGACTGTGGAAGAATATGTAACATTACCGGTACCTAAGTTGGATTTATGATCGGCGTCGGTCTCAACAACAACAAGTAACTTTGTCTTATTATGATCCTTTGTAGCGTTAACTTTGAAAGTCCATTCTTTCTTGTTCGCTTGCTACGGCTGTTGCATTGAGAACATTTTGTGATATTGCGACGCTAGTGGCAGAGGCGTTGGAAGCTTCGCTTTCTGTTGCAAAGAGATAATATGTCTTTGTAATATTTAAGCCTGTTTCGAGTATGATTTTGGCTGTGTATGGATTGCCTGAATTACTTCGTTGCCATCGTTGTATTGAACACTCTCGATAACTGGTGTGGGGACTGTGGAAGAATATGTAACATTACCGGTACCTAAGTTGGATTTATGATCGGCGTCGGTCTCAACAACAACAAGTAACTTTGTCTTATTATGATCCTTTGTAGCGTTAACTTTGAAAGTCCATTCTTTCTTGTTCCGCTTGCTACGGCTGTTGCATTGAGAACATTTTGTGATATTGCGACGCTAGTGGCAGAGGCGTTGGAAGCTTCGCTTTCTGTTGCAAAGAGATAATATGTCTTTGTAATATTTAAGCCTGTTTCGAGTATGATTTTGGCTGTGTATGGATTGCCTGAATTACTTCGTTGCCATCGTTGTATTGAACACTCTCGATAACTGGTGTGGGGACTGTGGAAGAATATGTAACATTACCGGTACCTAAGTTGGATTTATGATCGGCGTCGGTCTCAACAACAACAAGTAACTTTGTCTTATTATGATCCTTTGTAGCGTTAACTTTGAAAGTCCATTCTTTCTTGTTCGCTTGCTACGGCTGTTGCATTGAGAACATTTTGTGATATTGCGACGCTAGTGGCAGAGGCGTTGGAAGCTTCGCTTTCTGTTGCAAAGAGATAATATGTCTTTGTAATATTTAAGCCTGTTTCGAGTATGATTTTGGCTGTGTATGGATTGCCTGAATTACTTCTTGCCATCGTTGTATTGAACACTCTCGATAACTGGTGTGGGGACTGTGGAAGAATATGTAACATTACCGGTACCTAAGTTGGATTTATGATCGGCGTCGGTCTCAACAACAACAAGTAACTTTGTCTTATTATGATCCTTTGTAGCGTTAACTTTGAAAGTCCATTCTTTCTTGTTCGCTTGCTACGGCTGTTGCATTGAGAACATTTTGTGATATTGCGACGCTAGTGGCAGAGGCGTTGGAAGCTTCGCTTTCTGTTGCAAAGAGATAATATGTCTTTGTAATATTTAAGCCTGTTTCGAGTATGATTTTGGCTGTGTATGGATTGCCTGAATTACTTCGTTGCCATCGTTGTATTGAACACTCTCGATAACTGGTGTGGGACTGTGGAAGAATATGTAACATTACCGGTACCTAAGTTGGATTTATGATCGGCGTCGGTCTCAACAACAACAAGTAACTTTGTCTTATTATGATCCTTTGTAGCGTTAACTTTGAAAGTCCATTCTTTCTTGTTCCCGCTTGCTACGGCTGTTGCATTGAGAACATTTTGTGATATTGCGACGCTAGTGGCAGAGGCGTTGGAAGCTTCGCTTTCTGTTGCAAAGAGATAATATGTCTTTGTAATATTTAAGCCTGTTTCGAGTATGATTTTGGCTGTGTATGGATTGCCTGAAATTACTTCGTTGCCATCGTTGTATTGAACACTCTCGATAACTGGTGTGGGACTGTGGAAGAATATGTAACATTACCGGTACCTAAGTTGGATTTATGATCGGCGTCGGTCTCAACAACAACAAGTAACTTTGTCTTATTATGATCCTTTGTAGCGTTAACTTTGAAAGTCCATTCTTTCTTGTTCCGCTTGCTACGGCTGTTGCATTGAGAACATTTTGTGATATTGCGACGCTAGTGGCAGAGGCGTTGGAAGCTTCGCTTTCTGTTGCAAAGAGATAATATGTCTTTGTAATATTTAAGCCTGTTTCGAGTATGATTTTGGCTGTGTATGGATTGCCTGAAATTACTTCGTTGCCATCGTTGTATTGAACACTCTCGATAACTGGTGTGGGGACTGTGGAAGAATATGTAACATTACCGGTACCTAAGTTGGATTTATGATCGGCGTCGGTCTCAACAACAACAAGTAACTTTGTCTTATTATGATCCTTTGTAGCGTTAACTTTGAAAGTCCATTCTTTCTTGTTCCCGCTTGCTACGGCTGTTGCATTGAGAACATTTTGTGATATTGCGACGCTAGTGGCAGAGGCGTTGGAAGCTTCGCTTTCTGTTGCAAAGAGATAATATGTCTTTGTAATATTTAAGCCTGTTTCGAGTATGATTTTGGCTGTGTATGGATTGCCTGAATTACTTCGTTGCCATCGTTGTATTGAACACTCTCGATAACTGGTGTGGGACTGTGGAAGAATATGTAACATTACCGGTACCTAAGTTGGATTTATGATCGGCGTCGGTCTCAACAACAACAAGTAACTTTGTCTTATTATGATCCTTTGTAGCGTTAACTTTGAAAGTCCATTCTTTCTTGTTCCCGCTTGCTACGGCTGTTGCATTGAACATTTTGTGATATTGCGACGCTAGTGGCAGAGGCGTTGGAAGCTTCGCTTTCTGTTGCAAAGAGATAATATGTCTTTGTAATATTTAAGCCTGTTTCGAGTATGATTTTGGCTGTGTATGGATTGCCTGAAATTACTTCGTTGCCATCGTTGTATTGAACACTCTCGATAACTGGTGTGGGACTGTGGAAGAATATGTAACATTACCGGTACCTAAGTTGGATTTATGATCGGCGTCGGTCTCAACAACAACAAGTAACTTTGTCTTATTATGATCCTTTGTAGCGTTAACTTTGAAAGTCCATTCTTTCTTGTTCGCTTGCTACGGCTGTTGCATTGAGAACATTTTGTGATATTGCGACGCTAGTGGCAGAGGCGTTGGAAGCTTCGCTTTCTGTTGCAAAGAGATAATATGTCTTTGTAATATTTAAGCCTGTTTCGAGTATGATTTTGGCTGTGTATGGATTGCCTGAAATTACTTCGTTGCCATCGTTGTATTGAACACTCTCGATAACTGGTGTGGGGACTGTGGAAGAATATGTAACATTACCGGTACCTAAGTTGGATTTATGATCGGCGTCGGTCTCAACAACAACAAGTAACTTTGTCTTATTATGATCCTTTGTAGCGTTAACTTTGAAAGTCCATTCTTCTTGTTCGCTTGCTACGGCTGTTGCATTGAGAACATTTTGTGATATTGCGACGCTAGTGGCAGAGGCGTTGGAAGCTTCGCTTTCTGTTGCAAAGAGATAATATGTCTTTGTAATATTTAAGCCTGTTTCGAGTATGATT